CATGCTAGTTGTGGTCCATTAGTCCTTTGGACTAATCTTTCCCTTGTGTCTTTGGTTTTCTTCATTCTCCCTTGCTCCAGATGGGGTGGGACCAGTGGAGTATGTTAGATGGCCACTAACAAACTTTTAAGACCCCAGATGCTACTCACCAAAGTGGGATGTAGAACATTTTCTTTACGAACTATGTTATTCCAATGGAGCTAGATGTTCCCCGAGACCATGGTCCCCAGGCCTCAGCCCAATAATTTGGACCCTTGGGGAGGATGTGTCAGAAAGTATGTTTAATGTGACAGATAATTCTTTTAAACAGATACAATCACTCATATCTTTCATAGAATTTTTTGAAATGTAGATGTTCCTTTACTGAGTAAAAAGATCTTAGGGTATAAGATGTATACCTGAAAGAATGCACTTGCTATGATATTTCTTTTAATCTCCTCTTTGCAAACTAGCAACCGAACCACCATTTATTGTGGCTGTGAAAGAAGATGGTCTTTGGAGTAAGCCATTAAATAGCTTTGGCCCAGGAGAATTCTTGTCTTCTGATATAGGAAATGTGTCAGGTAAACACCAAGTCACCTGGATGACAGGTTTTGGTTTCCACTCCTAAGACTTCCCAAGTTATTCAATAAATCAAAATAATTGAATGCTTTTGTAATAACAAAATAAAGAAAAAAAAATATACTGACTGAACTATAGCACTAGTGATACTATTAAGAAAATATCAGTACTCAAATGGGAATGCTATTTATTATTTTACAAACTTTGACATTGTTGATTGACTTATGCCCACTTCAGGAAAGCATTGATATACTTGTCATATATTTTAATCTATCCTTATTGTCTCACAGTAATAGACTATCAAGTTCCACTAAGACAACTATACTTAAGTAATATACTCTGTGTTTGCTATAAGATGGGAGCAAAGAACTGCTACATAAAGTTCTAAATAAGCTGTTTAAGAAATAATTTGTTGACAAAGAAGATTAGTATGTAATGAATGGGTAGTTTTTGCCTAGATGGTATTAGTATGAAGAAAAGTCTTCATTCTATGATAGTAAAGCAGTGATCTTGCTTAAAGATGACATCTTCTATAATTCTCTATTTTTTCTATGTGCTTGGTTATTAAAAGTACAACAGCATTTCTGGCTAGCAAAGGAGTTAGTCATAGAAGGTAATATGTTAACAATGGCAACAATTACAATACTTCGTTAGAGTTGGCTGGAATAGGGGCTTTCCCCTATTTTCAGCTGTGAGGTCTTGGGTTTGCCGTCTCAAAAATGGGGATAATTCCTACTTTATAACGCTGTAAGAAATAAGTGAGAGATTTAAAATGCCTAGAATAGTGTTTGGCACAGAAGAGTTGCTCGATAAGTATTAGTTAGAGGTTAAGATTTTGGGATAACTTTACTGGAATATTCTTTAGAGATCGCTGAATTGCTAATAAACATCTATGTGAGTATATGCTTTAAAAATATATAGAGGTACACATGTGATTTGTTGACTTGCCGTATTTATGTTGGCATATGTGAGAAATAACTGTTCTTAATAACTCACTTCATTTTGAGACATGGATTGGTATAACAACAGCCTCTACTACAGTGACATGAAAGGCAACATTTACGTGTGGCTGCTAAATGGGACGGATATCTCAGAGAATTACCCCATACCCAACATTGCAGGAGCAGGGGCTTTAGCTTTTGAGTGGCTGGGTCACTATCTCTACTGGGCTGGAAAGACATATGTGGTAAGTTAAAGGCCAGCATTCTGGATGGTCTAGGACAATGCCCACCCACTTCAGTGATTTGCATGGCATTTTTATGATTTTTTTCATACTTGTGTATCATCCATATTATCATCTATTTAATATTTGTCTCTAAACCTAGTCATGTTTTTATTAAAATGCATTTATTTGTAAAAAAAATTTTGTATCACCATTCAATGTACTGGTTATGTATTTTCAATAATATCTTAAATACATTAAAAATACTCACCTGTGAGATGGGGTCCCAGCAGGAAGATGGCACACTCCAAAGGCCTGATTAAAGGAAATTACATGCAGGGATTGTTTTCAAAGCTATGGACAGGACTACGAAAAACCACCAAGGAATCATGAAGCATTCCCTGGGCTAGCAAGTGTGGGAAGATATAACTACCTCCAGGTATGAAGGAGCAAGGGGAAGAACCTGGTGAGAGCTGTAGCAGTAGGGAAGAGTTGCTAATATGTACTGTGGCTTTAGGTATAGAAACTCAGTCACTGTCACAATGTATGGTTGACAAGGAGAGAACTGAGGGAATAACTACCCCAACCCCTCTTTCCTCCTGCTGATCTTCTGCCAGTGCTCCCATTGGCTGAACCTCACTGGAAGCTAGAGAACGCGGGAACCAAGTAGATTGATCCATAGACATCAGCATCCAGGGGCACCGAGTAGTGTGGAGAAGGCAGAGGGTGGACCAGGCAGGTAAAATGAAGAACACACACCTGTATAGTGGTACACTTTGAAAAGAAGGAGGGTTAATGATAAGTATGCTGGCCTGACAGATCAAGAAACATGGTACTTAAATAATTTTCAGTTCAGGAGGGTGCTTATTACTTACTTATTGATTCATTCAACAGTCACTTATCTACTAACTATGTGTAAAGAGTCTTGATAATAGCCATGATAGGAAATATAAATAGTAGACATGCACCTGCTCTTTTTTTAAATAACAGCTTTATTGAGATATAATTTATTTATCATAAAATTCAGCCTTTTATAATATAGAATTCAGTGGTTTTTAGTATATTCAGAGTTGTGCAACCATCATGACTTGTTCTTTTGATGAGATAAAATACACATATGAAATAATAAAAGAAGCACACAAAGCAATTGTATTTAGAAGCAAAGCAGTATGATACAGTCTGAATTCATAAGCACCAAGGATACTCAGGCAGAACGGAGTTGAGTGGGGTTATCATAGAATACTCCCTAAAACAGGTTAGTTTGAAAACAGTTTTAAACTAGGAAGTGGAAGATAGATATAAAAACTGTTTTCAAGTATTTTCTCTGTCTCTTATAAAACTGTTTAACTCCAGGGCAAGCTACTTAACTTCTTTAAGTCCAGTTTACTTGTGAAAAAATAGGGAATGGAAATCCTTTATAGGCTTAATGTGAGGGTTACAGGAGTTAATATTTTAGAGATTAAAAAAGTACAGTGCCTGGCACATAGATACTCAATAATTGCAGTGATTAATATTGGGGAAATATACAGGTAGAGATGCACAAGGGGAGATGTCATCATTTATCAGGTTATATACATGTTCTTTGGAAGCCCTGGTGGCGTAGTGGTTAAGAGCTCAGGCTGCTAACCAAAAGGTCGGCAGTTCGAATCCACCAAGCGCTCCTTGGAAGCTCTGTGGGGCAGTTCTACTCTGTCCTATAGGGTCACTATGAGTCAGAATCGACTTGACGGCAACGGGTTTTTTTTAATACATGTTCTGCAGTAACTCAGTCAAATACAAACACCAGGCAGTGTGTCGATTATCTGGATATATGATTAGGAACATTGTATATTTTAACTCAACATAGATTTACCTCCATTCTCTTTAGAAACATGGAAAAGATTAAGCTCCATGAGGGCAGGGGGCATATTCGGTTGTTTTTTGTTATGTTTCCAGAGCTTAATGTGCTACCTGGCACATATCAAAAACAAACAAAAAACCACATTGCTGTTAAGTTGATTTGAACTCATAGAGACCCTATAGGACAGAGTAGAACTGCCCCATAGGGCTTCCAATCTTTACGGAAGCAGACTACCACATCTTTCTCCTGTGGAGTGGCTGGTGGGTTCGAACTGCCGACCTCTCAGTTAGCAGCAAGTACTTAACCACTGTACTACCAGAGCTCCTGGCACATAGTGCTGATAAATGTTTGTGGTTGAATGACTGAATGCATAAATGCAGCAACTCACTATTACAATAACCATGCAGAAATAATGAGGTTGTTTGAAAATCGTTAACTGACCATGCTTATTCTATTTTGCAGATACAGAGACAGTCTCTGTTGACAGGACATACAGACACTGTGACTCATGTCAAGCTGTTAGTGAATGACATGGTGGTGGATTCAGTTGGTGGCTATCTCTACTGGACCACGCTATACTCAGTTGAAAGCACCAGACTAAATGGGGAAAGTTCACTTACACTACAGGCACAGACTTGGCTTTCTGGGAAAAAGGTGACCACTTAAAAAAAAAAAATCTGATCATGTAATAATACTAGGTAGTGCTATTGCTCAGTTATAGTCATACTGTCTCTGATTATTGTGAATAGTTAAGATTGAATCTTGTTATATGAAATGCTGTTATAGTAAGATCTTGGTGTAACTGAGATTTCTCTAAGCCCTATCTGATTGTCATGTTGATTCAGTAAATAGAAATATAAATTTAAATGTAATGGAAGCTTTTGCATTTTAATTTCTTATTGCTTTTATAGTATTAACAATTTCTATTGAATGTTTTAGAGCTTTTTGTTGGATGTGATCAAGTACTTTATTAATTTTCAACAATTTTGGGTACTGAGTGCTCTACCAACTCTGTGGCCCCTATGCAAATTACTTGACTTCTCTGCCTCTGTTTTGGTACCAAAAAATGTGAATAATAACAATTATCTTACCTCACAGAGGTGCTGTGAAGATTAAGTGAGATAATTCATATGAAGTAGTGGCAATAGTTCCAGGCACATGGTAAATGCTCCATTATTTTAGCTCTTATTATTGTCATTCAATCTGGAAAACCTACCGGATATATGAATGTTTCTAAAATAAACATTATTTTTATTTCCTTAACTTCTAGAAGCAATCCCTCTTTTTCTTGAATTTATTTAGCTACCCTGTAGCTATCCATCTAAACTTCTGAATCTTATTTTTTTGATTATAATAGCAATATATACCTATTGTATAAAACTTAGGCTTTACAGAAAAGCATTAAGAAGAAATAAATCATTCATACTACTAGGATATTCCTTAAACATCTTTCCCTTCTTCTTCTTCTTTTTTTTTTTTTTAGTCTTTTTGGGTGGATAGAGATAAAATATACATGATACAGATATACCAGATCATAAATATAGCTATATCAAATGACTCAACAATTTGATAACAATATCTATATATACAAATTGTTGAATCATTTGATCCCCAATATCAAAAAAAAAAAAAAACCCAAACCCGCTGCCATCAAGTCAATTCTGACTCATTGTGACCCTAAAGGACAGAGTAGAACTGCCCCATAGGGCTTCCAAGGAGCAGCTGGTGGATTCAAACTGCTGACCTTTTGGTTAGCAGCCAAGCTCTTAACCACTGTAAAACCAGGGCTTCTCCATAGTATATATGGACTATAATTTCTAGAATATTTAAAGAGAACTGATTAGTGTATATAGGATATAAGACAGATATTTAAAATAGACAGAAATGTATGCACTAAATCCAGAGCTTTATCATTCCTGTCAAATAAAGAAAAAGTCCTCTGTGTCTCTTTTGGAGCCACTTGAGTTTGAATACAAAGATAATATTTTTTTTATGTTTTAAGTATAAATGTTGGGGACAGTACGTTCATTTTTGTAAACATACATTACAGATAATATTATCTCAAGAGTAACTTCTTCTTGACCTTGAGAACTTTGTCAGTAATCTCCCCACTACCCCATCTGGTTGTTTGCATGCCCTCACCACCCAGGAAGACTCTGGAGTGGCCGTGGTAAGTTTCCATAAATCAGTGGGTCTTTAGAGTTCTAGCAAGTGTGGGGAAATACATCCTTCTTTAAATCCCTACTCCATATCCTCACAGCTGCTGGTTAAATGTTGTTGCTTCTTGTGCAAATCTGTGTTCTGCTTCCTTGGTTTGATGTCTCGTCCATCTGCCTCCTTTAATAATAGTGCTTGCTTTTAGGGCAACAAATTTTGCACTGAGCAAACTCCTCATCTCACTGTCATTCGTTTATATGTCACTCACAAATTTATCATAGAATCATAAAATACTTCACAATTAGCAGGTATAATGAAATGTTGTTAGGCGCCATTGAGTTGATTTTCCACTCATAGTTATCCCATGTGACAGAGTAGAACTCCCTTAGAGGGTTTTCTAGGCTATAATCTTTACGGGAGGAAATCTCCAGGTCTTCCTCCTGTGGAACCACTTGGGGGGGTTTGAACCATCAACTCTTCAATTAGCACCCAAGCGCTTAACTGTTGCACCACTAGAGCCCCTTTATAATGAAATACAGTCCTCCAACTTTTTAATAGAAAAATTTACAATATTTGTTGATGAAAAGGGAGAATGAAGTGAGATGAATAAGATACTTTTTGCTACATCTGATGGGTCCAACTCATAGTATGCGGTACTCTTACCATAGGACTAAATTTTAACATAAGGACTTTAGTTTAGATCAAAGGAATTATTTCCAAGGGATGGGTATTATTAGACATAGCAATGGTTTCCAAAGATTTATGGATCACCCTCTGACTGTTTAAATATGGGCCTGACTGACTGATACTGAGAAATGGGATAATGACCCCAAACCTGAATTTGACTCAAAGTTGGAATAGTTTATTGTATTCCAGCAATAGGAGTTATAGATTCTCCTTTTTAAGAGATAAAATAAAGTCAATCTGTAACTTAGAAAAAAAATTCCGTGCATCTCATTTTAAAATCACTCACTTTAACTGAAAAAAATAGTCAATAAATCTTTTAGCCGTGGCAAGGACATGATTCAACTCCCAAACGGCTGGGAATTGCTAGAATAGATTTTTACCTCCTGAGAAAGGAATAGGTTGAGTTTGCTTGGAGACAGAAAGCTGTGATTTATATGACAACTGAAGAGTTTTGCAGCGGTATGTCTCATGATTGCTTCTTTGTAGCAGGTCTTGGGTAACCTGTCAGCAAGTATTCTTAGTTCTTGGACACCTTATTGCATTCTTTTCACATTTTTCACTGGCTCATCAATTTTTTTTGAATGCTACCATGTCTTACTAACAATGAGGTCATCAACATTAATCCTATGTTATACCTCTTAGCCTCTATGTCTACAATCGAGAGACTCCACTAATCTGAGGTCAGACTCCTGGCAACTTCAGCTTATTTGAAAAATATCTATAAGCCTGAAGAAAGCAAAAAAGGTCCCTTGGATAGAAACTTCTATCTCATGCATTCTATTTCATAGGAGAAGCTGTCTTCCCTCAGGTCTCACCTAGACAAGTGGAAATAAAATAAATATATGTAGAGCAACAAGAGGACAAAGTAAGAGTAGTAAGAAGTGATTGTCAGGTGCAGTTGGAAATAGAGCTTTAGATACACATGATTCTATCCAATTATAGCACATAAACATCCTGTATTTTATAAATAAAATTAAAATTATATTTAAAAAGTATATCAGGATGTTTTTGATTGCAATGAATAGAAAATAACTTAAAAACAGTTTAAACCACTGGTGTTCAAACTTTGCAGCACATCGGAACTACCTGGGGAGTTTTAAAAAATATTGGAGACTGGATTCCACCTCCAGAGATCATAATTTAATAGAGTGAATCCTGGGAATTGAGAATCTTAAAAACTCCACAGGTCATTCTAATGTGCAACAATGTTTGAGGACCACTGGTTTCAACAGTAATGGAATTCACTGGTTCAAGTAATTAAAATGTCCACTGTTACGGTGAGCTTCAGGCAAGGCTTGATGCAGTGTCTCGAAGTGACCAGGACCTGGCTCTGCAGCTTTAGTATTGACTGCATTAGGCGCATTCTGCTTATGATCCCAAGACGACTGCCAGCAATTTTGGTGTCCATGAATCCAGGTTTAAATCAACAGAAAAGAGAGACCTATTACTCCAATAAGAAGCTTGGGTGGTGCAAGTAGTTTGGGATTGGCGGCTAACCTAAAGGTTGGTGGTTCAAACTCATCCAGCAGCTCCATAGAAGAAAGCCCTGGCAAATTGCTTCCATAAAGATTACAGTCGAGAAAACCCTATGTAGTAAGACAGTACACAACACTGGGAAAGCCAGCACAAATTGTACAAGGAAATGTCATGGAAGCCCCACAGACACATCCAAACTCCCTGAGGGACTGAATTGCTAGGCGGAGGGTTGTGGGGACCAAGGTCTCAGGGAACATCTAGCTCAATTGGCATAACACAGTTTATAAAGAAAATGTTCTACATTTTACCTTGATGAGTAGAATCTGGGGTCTTAAAAGCCTGCGAGCAGCCATCTAAGATACTCCATTGGTCTCACCCCTTTGGGAGCACGGGAGAATGAAGAAAACAAGACACAAGGGAAAGATTAGTCCAAAGGACTAATGGACCACAAAACCACAGCCTCCACGAGACTGAGTCTAGTACAACTAGATTGTGCTCGGCTACCACCACTGACTGCTCTGACAGAGATCACAATATAGGGTCCCTGACAGAGCTGGAGAAAAATGTAGAACAAAATTCTAACTCACAAAAAAAGACCAGACTTATGCCCTGACAGAGACTGGAGAGTATGGCCCCTGGACACACTTTCAGCTCAGTAATGAAGTCACTCCCGAGATTCACCGTTCAGCCAAAGATTAGACGGCGCAGTAAAACCAAACGAGACTAATGGGGCACAACAGTCCAGGGACAAGGACTGGAACACAGGAGGGGACAGGAAAGCTGGTAATAGAGAACCCAAAGTTGAGAAGGGACTGTGTTGACATGTCGTGGGGTTGTTAACCATTGTCATAAAACAATATGTGTACTGTTTAATGAGAAACTATTTGTTCTGTAAACCTTCATCTAAAGTACAATAAAAAAAAAGAAGGAAAAACAAACAAACAAAAAAGAAAAAAATGTTCTACATCCTACTTTGGTGAGTAGCATCTGGGACCTTAAAAGTTTGTGAGTGGCCAGCTAAGATATATCTGTTGGTCCCATTCCATCCGGATCAAAGGAGAATGAAGAAAACCAAAGACACAGGGAAAATATTAGCCCAAAGGACTAAAGGACCACATGAACCACAGCTTCACCAGCCTGAGCCCAGAAGAACTAGATGGTGCCTGGCTACCACCACCGACAGCTCTGACAGGGATCACAATAGAGGGTCCCAGACAGAGCAGGAGAAAAATGTAGATCAAAATTTAAATTCACACACAAAAAAGACCAGACTTACTGGTCTGACAGAGACTGGAGGAACCCCCGAGACTTTGGTCCCTGGACACCCAGCTAACTCAGAACTAAAGCCACTCCCGAAGCTCACTTTTCTGCCAAAATTAGACAGGCCTATAAAACTAACGGTAACACAAATGAGGAACGTGCTTCTTAGTTAGTCATGTACAGGAGACCAAATGGGCAACTCCTGCCCAAAGCCAAGACTTTTGAAAAGGCAGAAAGGGGCAGGAAAACTGGAGGAATGGACACAGGGAACCTGGGGTGAAAGGGGGAGGGTGCTAACACATTGCGGGGATTGCAACCAATGTCACAAAACAATTTTTGTACCATTTTTTGAATGATAAACTAATTTGCGCTGTGAACTTTCACCTAAAGCACAATGAAATGAAAGAATATATATTTTGTCTTTTAAAAAAAAAGAAAACCCTATGGAGCAGTTCTATTCCGTAACATACGGGGTTGCCATGAGTCAAAGGACGATTTGACAGTAGCTAGCACACAAAAACATCTCCAATATGTCAAACATATTGATATTGAATCTCATGCATTCAGATTGTCCTGAAGTGGTCATATGCCCATCTCTGAACCTGTCTCTGGAGTCAGGAATTTTTCTGCTAATTAACCAATAACCAGTTGCCATCAAATTGTTTCTGACTCATGGTGACTCCATGAGTGTCAGAGTAGAACTTTGCTCCATAGGTCTTTCAATGGACTCAAACCTCCAACCTTCGGTTAGTTGTTTGCACTGCTCAGCGACTCCTTCTACTAATTACTTTTGTCCATTGAAGGCCCACCTCTGAGGCCAGGAGTGAAGTCAATCAGGCTGGCAAATTCAGGGTATTGTTTAGAAGGAGAGAAGCAGGGGTGCGTAGTTGAAACAATTACATAAAATGTGAAGAACAGACAAATAAAACAGAAAAATTATGTCATAATAATTACATTTAACAATTAACAAAGGTCAAAGTCTTGAAGTCATTGATACATCAGCTAAACCGGGGGCCTTATCTGATTCTAGAGTAAAACTTTTGTTGTTGTGTTGTGTGCTGTTGAGTGAATTCCCACTCATAGCGACCCTAGATGACTTTTTTGTTGTTGAAAAATCATCCAATCTATAATTTAATTTTTTCTAGAAGGAATTATTTTTCAGAAATGAGTATTCACTTAAATGTAGTTAAATAATAACAAATTAATACTTTTGGAGCATTTGAGCAGTTATTATTTCTAGTACAAAGAAAAACCTATGTGAGTGAGGACTTAGAAATGGGTTTGAAAGTGTCCTTGGGAAGCAATTGATCTGCTTGAGCCTCAGTTTCCTTATCTGTAAATTGGAGAGAGTAGTTCTTATATTAGAAGATTGTTATGCCGCTTAGTTAAGATACATGAACACTCTAAATACTATGTAATACATCTAAATGTAAATTGCTGGTGTAATTTTTCATATTCTTACAAAAAGAATGACCTACCTCTTTTGTTTGAATTATGGAATATATGCTTCTCCTAAAACGCATAAAATTTGAACTTCAGAGTAAGTTATGTTTATATACTTTTTTGCCTAATATTTGTTTTTTTTCCCAACCCAACCTAAAGCAGGGTTTCCAGTTCCCCTACATAGGTGATTTCTGTTCACCATGATGCGTGTAGCCATTATCTCAAGGACATAACCTCAATAAAGAAAATAATATAAATGCATAAAGGGGAAATGTAGATAACCAGACACACGGCTTTGTTATAGTTTACGTTCAGAATGAGCAAATAAAACCAGATGAGGAACATGTATTCTTTTTCTCGCTCTCTCTCTCTATATGTGTATGTGTATATATATCTATATATCTTCAATACCTATTATATATTATTAAATTTATTACCAGAGTGCCTAAATATATAACATAATCTTGAATTAGACATTGAAGGTGGGTAAAACGATGGAAAAGTACATTATAGATTTCATGAGCTTTAGGGTACTGACCTGAGAATCTAACTGCCAGTATAATACACTGTAATATGGTTTATAAAGGAAAGTGTGTTCCAAGTTCCAAGCAACTTGTAAATTAACTTTTGAAACAACCATCTATTTTTAGTTAAAGGCATCTTTCCATCCTCTTCTTTCCCTTTCATGAAGAATACGTACTGTTTGCTTATGTGGAAGGGGAAACTGATGGCTCTTTCAGTTCTTACTCTGTTCAGTTAACTAAAATTTATTGACGTGTCAAGCTCTGTGCTAGACGGTGGGCAGTAAAGTTCTCAAACTTAAGTGTGCATCAAATTTACCAGGAGGACTTGTCAAAACACAGATCATTGGGCCCTACCCCTAGAGTGTCTAATCCAGTGGGTCTTGTGAGAGGCCCCAAGAATTTGCATTTCTAACAAGTTCCCCTTTGATGCTTACGCTGCTGGTCCAGGAATCGTACTTTGAGAACCACTGGTGCTAAGTATATAAAAGTGAATAATATGTAGTTCCTGCCTTTCGGGGATTTTTAAGAAGCCAATGTTTGTATTCAAAATACACAGTAATAGACGCAATCACATAATTTTTATATCCAGCTAAAGGTAAAACTCTTTAAGAGTTCATCATCTCAAAAAGAATGTTAATGAAAAATCTTTAGCCAAAGCCTGACTTATTCACAAAGGCATGCTTCAAAAATGTACTTGACTCATTTTCTTACTTTATTTTCTATTTAGGTAATTGCTCTAACTTTAGACTTCGGTGATGGGCTCCTGTATTGGTTGGTTCAAGACAGTGAGTGTATTCACCTGTACACAGCTGTTCTTCGGGGACAGAGGTAAGTAGTATCCTGTGAAGGCAGTTGGTTGAGAATCAGAGAAGAATGACATGCCCCTCAGTTATAAATGATAACGCATGAGAATTCATTTATTCTTTCAATACCAAACCAAACCAGTTGCCATCAGGTCAATAGATTCCAACCTGGCAACCCCATCTGTGTCAGAGTAGAACTCTGCTCCATAATATTTTCAATGGCTGATTTTTTTATAGATTGCCACACCTTTCTTCTGAGGCACCTCTGGGTGAACTCAAACCTCCAACCTTTCTTTCAGTTAGCAGCCAAGCATGTTAATCATTTGCACCACCCAGGGACTCCATTCTTTCAATAACCATTTACTAATGACCCCTGTGTTGCAGGTATTGTGCTTGGCCCTAGAGCTAATGAACTTAATAAGTCACTTCTTCAGAAAATTTTATATTTTATGGGGAAAGATAGATTTTTAAACAACTAATTTGGACAGAATATGGTAAATGCTGCCAAGGGGTATGAGCAGAGTGCAGTGGAGATACTGATTAGAATGCTACTCAAGCCTGCAAACTGCAGTGAGTAAACATCACTCCCTCAGGGAGGCTTTCTCTGATTGTCCAGATTAGTTAGGTCTCCTTGTTAAGGAGCCCACTCTACCTCTCCTTTTCCAGTGCCTTTCAACATTGTAGTTATTTGCTAATTACCTGCTTTTTCTGCTAGGCTATCTATTCTATGAGGGCAGGAATTGTATCTGTCTTGCCACTGTATACCCAGTGGCTAACATATAACTTTGCAAATAACATCTGTTGAATGAGTGAATGAGTCAATTCCCAGGAGGGTAATCCTAGCTATTATGAGCATTCATGCATCATGGAAGGGTTTACAGTGCAAACATCTTGTTATGACTTTTTGACTGAGCTTTGACTCAAGTCCAGCTTTACCTGTTGTTGAGGACGGAAGGGTTTGGATCACTGACCTCCTGAAAGTGAGGAGATAGTGCTGAGGTTGTGCTGAATACCAGAGGTCATAAATTTTTGGACCAACCTAGACGTGCTGGAGACTATCAGGAGAGAGGAGACTTTAGCTGGAAACAAGGAGCAATCCAACCAGTGGCTACTAAGGGGTATCCAGGCCAGCCCTACAGGGAAATCCTATATCTGTTTTGGAAATGCTGAAACAGACAACTCTGTTGGCAGGAACACTTCCACGGATTGATTGTAAGCTGCAGCAGCTCTGTGAGTAATCCCGAAGGGCCGACTTCTCAGGCCAAGTGTGTCTTGCCTGATGAGCTTCTTTCCATCTGGAATTTGTTTTTATGAAATCTCATAAGGTCACTGGAAAGTTCTAGTGATGAGTAGAAACAACAAAATATAAAATTAGACAAGCAGGTGAAAGTCCAAAGGCAAATCAGATGCTAACTTCACAATTGAATAAGTATGGATAAGTAATATTTTATTTGAAAAGGACTATAGGAACAATACTATTGAATATACTTCTTTATAAGACTAACCGTTCCCAGATCCGGTCCTCTGTTTAAGCTTCTCAAAGGAGTGTTGTGAAATTTTCAAAACAAAACTTTTATTTATTTTGATTTTAAATGCTATACTTTATACTTTTATAAAGAGGAGAATGCCAACGCTTAAAAAAAGATTTAGAGAAATCATAAGGAAAAAAAAATCGAAGTAGAAGTCTGAGGGTCACTGAGAGAGTTTTTATTGGGTACTGGGCAACCGGCATAATTTCAGAAAGAACCGTGCAGGTTTTTTTTTTTTTTTTTTTTTTAAGTATCATTGCAAAACTCCCTGTCATTGAGAAAAAAAAAAAAAACTTTAAAAGCAATTTAAACAATAATCTGTTTACTTGGTTTCCTAACCTGAAAAGGTGTATTTTGACTAAGCTATAGAAATTGGTAAACATCACTGAAGCAACAGGAAGTTGTGAATAGCATAAAGTGAAGGGCCAAGCTAGAACAATGAATGGAAAGTAAGTAGATGACTAACCAAGAGTAAGAGGGAAGTATAACTCAATGAGGAGAAACCTATCTTCTGGATTGATTTTCACTGTGTCTTCTGGATTGATTTTGACTGTTCCTCTTGTTATGCTTGCCTGTTCATGAAGGCGTTACTGGAAGGGAGCAGTCATAGAATTGACTTTTTAATCCATCCATCTTTTTATTTCCTGAGAAAGCCATGATGGATAGAGATCAGATGCATAATTATTGGTATTGTTACAACCCACATTTTAGAGATGGTTAAATGAGAGGTTATTTGACTAAAGTTACAATTTTAATAATTGGCTAGCTTGGGAGTTCCATGCAGTTCGGTCTGTTTCTGAAATATGATACCTCTGAAGTATGTATCCCCTAGACTACGAATTAATCAATTCACAGGGAGGTATAGTCTTTTCCAGGGACCAGAATAATCATGTGGGCCATACTGGGTATTCTTTCATAGCATCAGGGTGAACCGATTTAGCTTTAAGGTAGTTGCTTGAAAAATAAGGAATCTGAGTAAAGGGGGTCAGGTAGACTGAAAGGATGACCATCCAAGCCAATGAAATCTGACTAACTCTGCTCATAAAGGAAGCTGTTTTGTGTCTCTGTGGACCAGAGTCCTCAAGGCCAACAGATTCAGGAACTACTATCCCTTGTCCATTCTGGGAATATGCCCCCAAATTCTTGCTCTTTGGGTACCTTAGTTTTTCAAATCCTTCAGAAATAACAGGCTTCCTTTTCTTAGTTACATACAGTCACACTTAACTGTACATTATCACACAAAATCCTAATACTTCCTATCTCCAGCGTGATTTACTGGATTATTTTTGGTTGGTCACAAAACCCCTGTGCCCCACATTTACAGGCTATCTTTAGGCCTCATGTATAGATGGCAAATTCATACTTTATGCATTGGTTTTTACTGGTTTGCTTTCTGGACGGTAACCTTATCTCCAAGTCTGGAAGTACCTTGCCTCATGTCTTTCTTCTGCTATGCCCACGTTGTAGGAGCATTGAAATAAGCCAAAGACTTTATCTCTGTGTCAGTGAAGTAATGAGAATCCAGGTTGTGCCTTTGATGCAGGGTATTACCAAAGACACACGTATTTTTTTAAAAGCTGCAACATGCGTAACACTCTTGCTATTGCAATATCATATTAATGGTGAGAGAAGCCTCTAGAAAATTTACCTTAGGTGTCTACTTAAGAAAAATGTAAAAAATCAACTTAATATGGAACTAAGAATAACAACAATTATTGTTGCAAAGTATTTTCTCTTTGTTTTTGTATACACAAAACCCAAACCAAACCCATTGCCACTGAATCAATTCTGACTCCCAGCAACCCTATAGGGCAGAGTGGAACGGCCCCATAGGGTTTCCAAGGCTGTAAATCTTTATGGAAGCAGACTGCCACATCTTTATCCCACGGAGGGGCTGGTGGGTTCAAATCACCAACCGTTCGGGTAGCAGTCGATAGCTTAACCACTGAGCCATCAGGGATCCTTTATATACAAGCACGCACATACTTACAAACACTCATTCTCACCAGTACCTGTATAAACCAGCCTGCCTCCCCCTGCCCCCCAGATATACATATTAATTGGTATTGTGTTTTAGCAGCGTTGGTGAGACCACCATCACGGAATTTGCAGCCTGGAGTACTTCTGAAATTTCCCAGAATGCACTGATGTACTATAGTGGTCGACTTTTCTGGATTAATGGTGTTAGGATTATCACAGCTCAGGAAATAGGTCAGAGAACCAGTGTCTCTATTTTGGAACCAGCCAAATTTAATCAGTTCACAATTATTCAGACATCTCTCAAGCCTCTACCAGGTACAGTATTTTATTCTTGCCTTCCTTCCCCCCCCCCCACACACCTATGTTCAATAAATATTTATGTTGGGATTTATTCTTAAGAATTATGTTTTCAGAGGAAAAGGCTTTAGTAGTTACTGTTGGTTTGTTTGTGGTCAGTTTCATCTTAACCAAACTTTAAAGCCTGAAAAAGTCAGAAAAATACGATTTTCAGGATATATTAAAGGAAAATTTTGTTTTGGTACAAATTATTAGTAATTTTTATTAATTTTCCATGATGATTGATAATCCTAAATCCTTCCCCCTCTATTTCTTTCTTTCTTCTACCCCATAGGGAACTTTTCCTTTACCCCTAAGGTTATTCCAGATTCTGTTCAAGAATCTTCATTTAGGATTGAAGGAAATGCTTCAAGCTTTCAGATCCTGTGGGATGCTCCACCTGCGGTGGACTGGGGTATAATTTTCTACAGTGTGGAGTTTAGCGCTCATTCTAAGGTATGGCTTTGATTCTATTAACTTCCATTTCTCAGACAAACTATGGCATCTGCATCGGCCTTGCCTATACTGTTTGCGCTTTCTTCACTTAGCCAAGGCCATCACCTTTGCTGTTCCTGCAGCATTTGGCTAGTAGAATTCTGCCTAAGAAAGCCTACTTTCTGCCAGTCTCTGACTTGCTCTGTGGTTAGTGTTAACGGCTATATTAGAGACACTTTAACTGGTTTGCATGGTGAAACATGGGACTTAGTCAAAATTAGCATTTCCAAAACTGCAAGTTTTGACTTTGCATGTGAACCAAAATTTGGAGATTTTAGTTAATTAGAAATAAAAGATGGTAAGATTCTCCCTCTAAGAAAATAATGTTTTGTGCTTATATTTTAGTTTCTGGCTAGTGAACAGCAGCCTTTGCCCGTGTTTACTGTGGAAGGGCTGGAGCCCTACACCTTGTTGAATCTTTCTGTCACTCCTTATACCTACTGGGGAAAGGGCCCTAAAACATCTCTATCACTTCGAGCACCTGAAGCAGGTACAGGGGTTAACACATTCTCTTAAAGAAAAAAAAAAGGTAGAATCTTGCTTTCCATGATCTGGATTGGATATTTAGAAATTCTTAAAAATAACTTTCAATTTGGTAGATGTGTGTAGATTCGGTACCCTGACAATGATCTTTTGGAGATTTCAACAACACCGTTAAAATAAATCTTTATAATTTCTTCCAAAATAATGTTTCAAAGAATTTTTAAAGAATGTTTCACTTGATTTGAATGATATATAAGATGCAGAAACATGATCTCGGTATTTGTGAAGAGCTTCATAAGGAAAATGGGCATTTAGGAGCAGAGGCAGGTTTATTAGGAGATGTTCTCAGAGTCTTCCATAGGTAAATAATTGAAGTCTTTTTTTCTCTTTCTGGAATTAAGTTTAAAAAGCATACTAGACATATCTTTAATGTATATATCACTTTAAAATGTACAAAATACATTTATATGCATCGTTCCTTTATTAAACATTTATTACATACCTATCATGTGTCAGAAACATCATTTTATTTGATTCTCACACAGCTCTGAGTAAGTAGAACAGGTGTTATTCTTCCTACTACGCAAGTAAGAAAACGGAAGCCCAACAGTTGCCCGAAGTAAAAATAGCTATAGTAAGTGACAGGGCTGCGACTTTGTCTAGACTTTTCACTACAGTTTATCATAAAATCTCCGTTCAGTCATTTTTACAAATGTTGATAAACAATAGTATCACACTGAGTTAACTGATATAAACTTCCTAGCACAGGACCTGGCAGGCAGTAAGAGCTTAATGAACGTAGATATCTACCCACCATCACATTTTATCCTGTCAAAATTCTTTCAACGCTATTTGTCCATGAGTCTCACAGCAGAAACATAGTGGAGACTGGGCAGTTTCTAGAGCAGCTAACATTTGGATCCAGGTATGCTGTGTTTGACATTATCTTGGGACATCAGCTTTGGTTGGGTTGTCCTACGGAAATGGATTTGACTGCACCCATTAGGACATGCACTGTGGGCTGGGGTCAGCAGTACTCCGCTGGATGCTGAGGCAATATGGAAGAATGATGAGATTTGGTCCTTGCTCTCAAAGAATTTACAATATAGTAGGAAATTATTGAAGTTGACCAACATTATTAAGTACTTACTGTGTGCCAGGCCAGTGCTAGATTTGGGGGGATTTAATGAGAAAGAAGAAATGGTGCTTTGTGTGATACAGCTCATAAACTGATGGGGGATAAACACATGTGGCTAATGATCATAGAAACAAGACAGTGATTGGTAAGCAGCAATGGCATAGAGAGAATAGGCAACACTATGAGCCTTCATTCTTATCAAGCTGCTTCAGGTTCTTAAAAGGAGACAGACAAGGACTGCTATGGCCAGGAGAGATCTTTAGGGGCTGGAGTAAAACTTTGGCTGGTCCCTGAAGGGTACTGTGAGAAGAGCTATCTCATGTGAGAAGTACAAATGTAAGAAAGCCTGGAGATTGGACAACAGTGTGAGTGCGGAATATTAAGAAGCAGTGTAATCAGAATGGGGGTGGGAGAGAGGTTACCTTGTGGAGGAGTTCTAAGAAAAGTGACCTCTAAGATGGAATGGCTTGGTAATCGGGCAGAGGAATTTCTCTTGATTAAAGGATTGAGACAGACTAAATTGCTTGATTTGGCTCTAGAATAAATGGGAACTCTCTTCTGAATCCCAGACCATACCTTCGGGGTGCTATCAACTTTCTCCAAAACTTCTGCCTCCTGGGAGAGTTCAGAGTGAGAGGGCTTGGATCCTTAAGATGCTGTATTTTGCACCCAGAAGTGGCTGAAGGCTAGATAGAGTCCTGCCTTTTCTCCTGGTGACTGCTATTCACATCTGCAGGCTACATCATTTGGTCAGGATAAGACTGATTATTGCATTTTATAAGAATAACCAGCCACCTTCCATCTACACTGGACACAGATGAGAAAGATGTGGTAGTAAGAGGGATTTGAATTGGACATAAAGATGTTTTGTCTGCCAGTAAGTTTTACTGATGAAATTGGGTAAGTTTCTGAAGAAATCTATGGAATATTCTCTCCTGAAGATTTTTCAGAATGGGATAAATATATCTCAGCTGTCTGGAATGAGAAATATCCGTGCCCTTATCATAAGTGATAGCATTAAGTCCTATATTCTTTTCTGCCCTTATCTTCATATCTGCTTTTCAGTTCCATCAGCACCAGAGAATCCCAGAATATTTGTATTACCAAGTGGAAAATACAGTAACAAGAATGAAGTTCTGGTGGAATTTAGGTGGAATAAACCTAAGCATGAAAATGGTGTGTTAACAAGATTTGAAATTTTCTATCAAATATCCAATCAGAGTGACACAAACAAAATATTCAAAGACTGGATTGCTGTCAGTGTCACTTCTTCCATGATGTCTTTTCAACTGGAGGGCATGAGACCTGAGTCCATGGTTTGCTTCCAGGTATGAGAATGAAAACAGGAGTTTTAGGATCTTCACAAGGCAAAGCAGAAGATTAATTAAAGGAGTAGGTTAAGAATTCTGTAATCCACTCTGTCAATAATGTGAGGTATGCTGTGATCCTGGGGGTCAAGTGGGCAGCAACGGTACAGAAGAGAAGAGAAGGGACAGTTAAGGCAAAGGACATTTTGACAGCTTTCTTGCATTCAGGGTACATCCCAGATTCAGTCATTACTTTCGAAGCTATTACTTTAGGTCATGCACCACAGAAGGTGCTTTCATATGTATTATCGCACTTGATCCTCATGCTGTGAAGAAAAAGCCAAGTCCTTGGGTGTATCAGTCAATTACCAAAGCTACATGACTACTAAGTGGTGTGTGGTAATCAAACTTCTAGAGTCCTTTCTATTATGTCATGCCAACACTATGGATCATCTGGGTGTTCCAATTTGGAACTATCAATAGAAATAAAAGTTGAGGGTCAGATGGTTGACATCTCATAGTTTTCATTGACTGACATCATCTGGATGCTTATAAAGGAGAAAATCAGAGAAAATAGCAGTCAAGGAAAAAGGCCACTGTCGCCTCCATTTTGATATTTTAAATTTCATGTATCTTTCCACTTATGATAGATGATTTGATGATTTTTCAGATTCTCAGTAGATACCAGGTTGCTAACAATGTTGTACATGGTTATAGAGTTATTCTCCATCTCTTTGAGGGTAAAATAATGTTTTGATGGTGTTCTAGAGATTGGTGCTTCTTAAAAATCTATTCTTTTTCTTTTTGTAAAATTCAAATTTCGTAAGTATTTTGGTCATTTATCGCTTTACATATAATAATCAAAAAAGTAATTAAAAGTTAAAGATAAAAAGATATTCCGATTTGTAAGAACTATGTGTGTTCTGGTTAAATAAATATTCTGGTTAAGTATATCTGTCTATATGTATATACAGTTTCAAATCTCAGTCACTATGAAACAGCGCAAAGTGAGGACACAGCTTGGTTATGCATGAATTTCAGTTCACATGGTCCTGTGCAAAGACTGTTTGATACACACACACACACACACCATACACAGATAATTAAATAGGATATACAACCCCACCCAAAAAAAAAAAAAAAAAAAACTATTGCTGTCAATTCAATTCCGACTCACAGTGACCCTATGAGACAGAGTAGAAGTATAATGAAAATAATCCAGTGTTTTGTTGATTGAGAGAGCACTTGAGGCTCTATCTTTTGGAGCCATCATTATGAATGTCAATTATCTTCATAGGCATATACAAGGTTTGGAAATGGAATTGATTTATTACACAGTGAAAGATGCTGTTACTGTTGCTAGGTGCCATTGAGTCATAGTCATAGTCACCCTATGTACAACGGAACAAAACACTTCCTGGTTTGTGGCGATTGAAAATACCATGGCTTGGGTCAGGCCTGTCTTAGTCCTCAAAGTGACATTTTTGCTTTTCAATGCTTTAAAGAGGTCTTTTGCAGCCGATTTGCCCAATGCAGTACAATAAAAGATATCTAATAAAAATAACTAAAAAAAAAACTTTGCTGTTGGGAAGTGACATGGTACTGTACAAGGAAAAGTATATAGAGCTCAAGAGACTTGGTTCTTATGCCTGTGTCATCGTGGATGAGTCACTCACCTTGATTATGATCCTTGCCCGGTTTCTAGTCTTGGTAGTTATAAGGATCAAAAGAGATAATATACATGAAAGTGGTTTGAAATACACTATTCACTTTCAAGTGTAAGGTTTAATTATTATTTTCTTTTTATAAATATCCTTTTTAAAAAGTAAAGAAAATTTAGTTATTTGAAGCTTCTAGTTGTCTGAATTCAAGATAAGTGGAAGTTTACCATAATCTTTATAGTTTTGCTTCTGATAAATGTGCTACGTCATTTAATTTTGGTAATACCTGAAGACCTTTTTCAGACATTCCAAAATTTTTGGTAGATATTTGTACCATTTCTCTGTATTTTTTAGATACCCACATACATGCACACATACACACAAACCAAAACAGACCCAACAACATTAGTATGGGGCAGTATTTTTCCTTTTATTGATTTATTGCTATGTACTTAGATGTAAATAATTATTTGAAACTATTAATAATATGTGCCAGGAATGTGAAATGAAACATTCATCAGTCTTAGAACTTAATTATTGCCAGTGAAGACACTGTTGAGTGCACTTTTTTTTCCTCTTCAGGTTCAAGCCTTCACATCTGAAGGGCCGGGACCATTTTCTGACATAGCAAAGTCCAATACATCAGGTATTTGTTATACAAAAATCTGTACAAATAACACATAGTGTTTTAAAACCATTTTTGCCTGATGGTGTCCTTAGGGATATGAATGCTGAAGTTAAGTTCAAATAAAATAATTAATAAATTTTTATTATCACCAAAACATGCCTAAACAAACCTAGGGTTAGAGAGCCTATAAATTAAAACCACTCTCTTGATTGAGATCAGTATACTAGATGGACCCTAAGGGGACCCATGGATTTCAAAGCTGTCTGATATTGAATCAAGAGGCTTTGCTAAACTAGTTTTCTCATTTGTATTGTCTACTTACTTTTCGTTTTCAGCAATCAACCCTTTTCCATACCTCATAACTCTTTTTGGCAACAAGATACATTTTTTAGATATGGATCGAAATCAAGTCATGTGGACATTTTCATCAGAAAGAAACATCAGTGCCATGGGCTACACAGCTGATAATGAGATGGGATATTATGCCCAAGGAGATTCTCTCTTCTTTCTGAACATGCACAATCTTTCCAGATCTGAGGTATTTCACTATGTGATTCTTTTGAAATGAAGGAAGTAGAGCATTTGCATATCACACTATTCTGTAATTAAAATCACTGGTCAGTGTCGAACTACGGAGATTAGAATGATTGAAAATGACAGATGTATGCTTATTTAGCCACAAATGCAGAAAATAGATTTTGGGCAAATGTCATTCAGGATTAATTTAGCAACCAGTTATTGGGTTCAAGGCACTGTATTAGATCCCGGGACACAGGAAAAAAATCGCAGTCCTTGCCCTTAGCAAGCCGTATTCTTGCACTAGTCTAGCACTACGAAGGCAATATTGCATAGTGATTAAGAGTCTGAGCTTTGCAATCTAATAACCTAGAATCTAATTCTGGCTTCACTATTTACTAGATCATTGACAAGTTATTTCACCTCTATGGTTAAGTAGTAACTACATCATAGTGTTCCTGTGAGGATTAAATGAGATAATCCAGGCAAACCACTTAGCCCAATTCCTGGCATGCGGTAGGCATTCACTAAATGTTAGCTAGTAGAGAAGACAGACTAATATAACTGCTTTGTTTGGAACAGGATGCAGTGGAATTGCAGAGAATGGACACCGAATTCAGCTTGGGATGGTGATAGTGGTAGACTGGAAAGAGATCTTGGGATGAATAAAATAAGCCAGATGAAGGTGGGGGAACGCAGAGGGAATAACAAGTGCAAAGGCAGGGAAACAAAAGAACTGTAGTATGTTCAAAACTAAAAACAAAAAACAAAACAAAACAAAAACCCACTGCCATCGAGTTGATTCTGACTTCTAGCGACCCTATAGGATGGAGTGGAACTGCCCCATAAGGTTTCCAAGCCTGTAAATCTTTATGGAAGCAGAGCGGCTTGTGGGTTCAAATTGCTGACCTTTCAGTTAGCAGCTGAGCACTTTAACCACCGCACTGCCAGGGCTCCTGGAAGTATGTTTAATCCAAAAAAAAAAAAAAAAAAAAAAAAGCCTACTGTTGTCGAGGCAATTTCGACTCATAGCAACCCTATAGGATAGAGTAGAACTGCCCCATAGAGTTTCCAAGGAGCACCTGGTAGATTCAAACTGCTGACCTTTTGGTTAGTAGCTGTAGCACTTAACCACTACACCACCAGGGTTTCTGGAAGTATGTTTAGGGAGCAGTAAACAGAGGGAGCCTGGAAGGGAAGAGGGGGTGAGGGTGGAGTAACAGGCAGGTGGTAAAGCTGGAGAGAGGTAGGCAGGAAAATGCACATAATGGGCCTCCTTTACCATGCTAAGGAATCAGGTGTCAACTTGGAAACCAACAGCAAGCCATTGAAGAAATTTAGTGGGTCATTAACGTAATCAAATTGTGTTTTAGAAAGACCTCTCTGTCAGTAGTGTGAAGAAGGACTTGGGTGGGGGACAGTTAAGTATGAGACTGTTAGACAACTGTTGCAGAAATAAAGGCAAGAAATGTTAAGGGCCTGAGCTAGGTGAGAGGCAATGAGGTGAGAAAGGAGAGGACAAATTGAGGAAATATTTAAAATGGGACTAAATCATTACGGTTAATAACACGAGGCAGAAGTCAAGGATGAACCATATTTGTCAGGATTGGCTCCTAGGATGAGTGTTGAAAATTCATGAAAACATAAAATGCAAAGGAAAAGGAGGTTTTAGGGTAGGATGACCAATTCTGTTTTCTGGGGTCATTCATATGGAGATGTTTAGTAGGCAGTTTGGTGTTTGAGTCAGTGGAGGGATCTTGCCTGAAGAGGTAAATTTGTACCACTGGTCTGAAGCCTTGGTAGTAAGTGACATTATCCAAGCAAAAATACTATGTATGAGGAGAATCAATGACAGCAATATTTCACAATGGTAGACGATCCAGAATTATTGAGGTTTAGATTACAAAGGAGTGCAGTAAATAAGTAATGTCGGTGATTACAGAAAAGTCCTCAAATTAAAAAAAACAAAACAACAAAACAATGACCACTATCTCCTTGGTTATTCTCCACCTACTGTTAAGATGTTCCGAGATGCACTGGTTTTTGATATCACAGTTATTACAGTTGACTGGATTTCAAGGCACCTCTACTTTGCACTGAAAGAATCACAAAATGGAATGCAAATATTTGATGTTGATCTTGAACACAAGGTGAAATATCCCAGAGTTCTGAAGATTTGCAACAGGAATTCAACAATAATCTCTTTTTCTGTCTACCCTTTCTTAAGGTATGTGAAGTGTGAGTATTTGTTTCTGTTGTAATGAAATATAAAACTAACAAACCAAACCCTTGGTGTCTAGTTGATTCCGACTCATAGAAATATAGACACATTAAACATAATGTCTTTGGTTCTATATTAGAAGTCAATGATGGGAAAATAAGATACTTAGCGTTCTTGGCTCACTGTAAATTTTGAGCCGCAACCACAAATACGTAAATTTAATTCATACTGACAATCTGACTAATGTAAAGTTAGGCTACTTACTAACTAGCCTAGCTAGGAACTCAGTAACAGATTTTTATACCAGTAAATTTAATAATATCATCAGCTGATAGGCATGTACTAAGTGTTAACTAGTAGAGAAGACACGAAGGGGACTGAGACAGTGGCAGGAGGCAGATGAGCAGCATGTCTGGCACAGCAAGAGTTATTCTGTCTCACCCATTTTAGTTTGATTTAATGCCCTCATGAGTTTTAAGGCCTCCGTTCAATAACTGAAGCTGGAAAGATAAATTACATTTTTGCTGTAAGCATGGTTATAGGTGGGATTGTTAACTAGCTTTAGGAAGCAGAAACAAACTTGAGAGGAAGGGCGGGGAGACTGGTTTTGATGAAAAGTATGCAAATATATTTCATATTTACAGCTGTTAATGAGCCATTTAACACAGTGCCTAAGGACATTATAGTCCAAAGCTTTAGTTGTAAACTAAATGATTTATTGAGAAATCTTTGGAAAATGCTATGAGTTAAATGACTTCTTGGGATCTCCTGTATCTCAGAAGAAGGTTTTTGGACACTTGGGTGAGATTTTTCCAGAGGCTTTATTTGTCCCTCTGATCATTAGGAATGATTTCATGGTTGATCTTCATCGTTGTTATTGCTAACTGCTGTTGAGTCAATTCCGACTCATGGTGACCCCATGTGTGCAGAGTAGAACTGCTCCATATGATTTTCAAGGCTGTGACCTTTTGGAAGCAGATTGCTAGGCCTGTCTTCCAAGGTGACTCTGGGTGGGTTCAAACTGTCAGCTTAATAGTTGAGCGCTTAACCATTTGTGCCACCTAGGCACCCCATTGATCTTCATTAGAAACTAGTATTTGCAATGATATGTTTTGCTCAATAAGTTGGAGGGACTTTTATTTTTACTTTTTTCCCTACAGTCGCCTGTATTGGACAGAAGTTTCCAATTTTGGCTGTCAGATATTCTACTACAGTATTAGCAACCACACCTTGCACCACATTCTGCAACCCACAGCCACAAACTATCAGAATGGAACGAGCCAATGTTCTTGCAATGTGACTGAATTTGAGTTAAGTGGAGCCATGACTATTGATAGCTCTGACCTAAAGCAACCATGCATATACTTTGTCAAAGGGCAAGCGATCTGGGCCATGGATCTGGAAGGATGTCAGTGTTGGAGAGTTATCATGGTGCCTGCTATGCTTGGTAAGATGCTGATGTGTGTACATAGATCTTCGCAATGGCTGCCCCTCTTGTCCTATTAAAAAGGGCTTGCATCCTGCATATACTCAAAAGAGTATCCAAATGGTATTTTCTCTGGATTATGCCAAATGTTCTTGCAGAATTCAAGTTATTTCCAGGCATATTATATGTAGGCATTCATGTAATTTTCTAAACCTATTTTTGTTGTTATTTGTAAATAACAATAGAGGTATAATTTACTGAGCTTCACTGTACATTCTAGCATGCTACTAAATGCATTATCTCATTTAATCTTCTCAACATGCTGATGAGATAGGTACTAGTATCCTTACCTTACAGATGAGGAAACTGAGGTTGAGAAAGGTTAGGTAACTTGCCCAAAGGCCACAGTCAGTTAGTAGAGGAGCTGAGGTTTAAAAATGGGCCTAACTCCAATGTCCATGATCTTACCAATACCCCACTTTACTTCTACTTTGGTGATCCTGCTGACTCAACATTCAGCATGAGTTGGTCAATAATTTGCAGGTCTGTCTGTTGAAATGCACATGGTTGTGGAGGAAATGTTTGGAAGTCTAAAGTGACTTGGAAGTCTCCTGATGAGGAATAATTGCAACATAAAAAAAAAACAAAAACAAGAACTTCTAACTACCCCATATACTCTTAACAGTCTACTCTTTACTGTCCAGTATGGTAACCGCTAGCTACATATGGCTATTTAAATTTAAATTAAATAAAATTTAAAGATCTAGTTCCTCAATCACATGAGACACATTTCAAGTGCTCAAAAGTCACAAGTGGCTATTGTATTGAACAACACAGATATAAAACTTTCCATCATCACATAAATTTCTATTGGGCGGCACTGTTCTCTGTGGAGCCCTGGTGGTGCAGTGGTTAAGAGCTCAGCTGCTAACCAAAAGGTCAGTAGTTCAACTACTCCTTGGAAACCCTATGGGGGAATTCTACTCTGTCCTGTAGGGTTGCTATGGGTCGGAATTGACTTGATGGCAATGGGTTTTATTGGGTCTATATAGTGAAGTTTTTTTTTTTTTTAATATTTTATTGTACTTCAGGTGAAGGCTTACAGAACAGATAGTTTCTCATGTAACAGTAACACACATGCTGTTTTATGACATTGGTTAACAACCCCA